ATACTCATCATGAGAAGTACAGCCACCAGCTCCCGTCCTTAGAGCAGCAGAAGTCCACACCTGCTTCCGCCATCTCTCTCCTTTTCCCGTCCTCATAATAATCCTATACTTACTCACTCCCCCCCCTCCCCCCCACTTACACTTACACTTAATTACACTTACCTCACACCCTCACTTCCCCCCCCCCTAAAACCATCCCCTGACACCCACCCTCCCAATAGTCCGTCTCCCCCCCCTCTTTAATAAATACCCTTCCACCCTCCTTCTCCACCACACACAAGCCGATGATGTTTCTCGCCGGTTCACGAGTGTGCCATGCACGCCAGCAGGTCGTAGGTCTTGGACCGGCTCGGGTCCTCGCTGATCTGGAAGTCGGGACAGATGTGGCCCTTGAGCTGCGCGTACTCGCACTTTTGGAAGGTCGAGGACGTTGGGCGTGCGGCAGCCGCAGCAGAAAGGTGTTGTAGCCGATGGTGCACATTTTGGACTTGGCTTTGGGTGGTGGGTTGGGTTGGGGGTGGTGTGGGATTAGTGATGTGTGGTTGTTGGGGTGGTTTTTGGTGGCTTACCTGGTGGTGGCGGTGGTGGTGTTGGTGCGTGGGTTGGGTGGAAGGTGGCTCGCTCGCTGCCTGGATCCCGGGCCTTTGTAGCTTGTGTGGAGTCTCGTCGTCCCTGTGAGGAATTAGTATGGACTCTGGACTTTAGAGACTTACCTATCTTCCGATCTGGGGTGAAGATGGAAGGTGGAGGCAAAAGGGGTTGGGGTGGGATCGAGGCAGTTGCTCTGTATGTTAGTGTATAGTGATGTGATGGGTAAGTGTGTTCTGGGGGGCGAGGAAAGGGTTTATATCTGGAATTTGATAATTATGTCTTCTCTTTTGTTGCTTCGTTTGTGTATTCTATTGTTGTTCCTTGTCGGGGTTGAGGAATTTCCGCCAATAAAGACGGCATATAATAGCATTGTTCGAACTTTCTTTACTGTCAACCAGGCAGTGGGAAACTTGCAAGCCTTTGGGTTTCCATTGATTCTTTGTTCCCATTTTTGGTAGGATGGTGATGGGTAGTGTTGAGCGTGTCTTTGCGCTCTGGAGACAATCGGGGAAAGAATCGGGGAAATCCATCACGTAGGAGGTTCGGGACACAGAAAAAAAAAAGAAGAGCAATAATCATAACCATAGCAATGATAGCCTTGATCCTGGCAAAAAGAAGAGACCTGCTGAGGGGGATGAGAGAGCAAAAGAATCGTCACCTGTAGGATTCGAACCTACGCTCCCGAAGGAACTGCCTCGCAGCTAACTATTAATTAGCAGGGCAGCGCGTTAACCACTCCGCCAAAGTGACTGACTGGTTGAATTCGACCGGTTGCTCAAATGATAATGACCGTCCGCTATTCCCGCCCCCCACAGGAGTGACCGTGCCCGCGCGCAGCGGGCACGCCAAAGGAGCCTGGAGGAACTTGCCGGCTGCAGGTAGGCCCCATAGCGGAGTCAACGATGTAATTGTTAAAGGCGGAAGAAGAAGCCATCTTGACTGCAATGGAATTATAAACAGTATCAGGAGATGATTGTAGTTTAGGTCAGAAAATCGGGATGGAAAGAACGTATCGAGTTCCTTGGATTGGGAAAATGGAGCACCGCGGTGTAAAAAAGGTGGCCTCTAGCACCGGTTTGACCTCATCGCCGATGTATGACGCCGCATTCATGTGAGGTCTCCAGTAGTTAAGCTATATCGTCATCTAGGGGCTTCAGTAATCAGATCCCGTAAAGATTAACCTCTGTGGCGTAATCTCACAGAGCTGATAGGTTCCGTGTATTTTGTGCGTCAAAGAAGCAATTTGCTTCGCTACCCTTCGTCACGTATTCCTGCTGAGCCAGGCAATCTTGGCAATGTTGACGTTCTCTGTAGTCGTGGTTCCAGGAATGGGACGTCATGGCCGAATCCGCGCAGACTGAAGCTGCTGATGAAGAAGCGGGTGCGTCGCTCTAGTAGTATAGTCAACCCATAATAGATGTTGACCCTGCAAACCTCATCTTTCGCCACTTTTTGACAGAAATCCGACTTTTTTGTTCGTGTTCGTGATTGTCAAGGAATGCGCGACGGAGGCATGCAAAAGCAGGAGCGAAGCAGCGAGTCACAGGGGCCCTGATGCCAAGTGCGGGTTAGCGGCTTTTCTCCGGCGATCCGATTGGCCAGGTGTCAAAGCATCAAATGGTCCGTGCACCACCACCGCTAAGACTAACTGCGAGATGCTGATTCAAGGAAGCAGAATGCAGATGACGCCAGACATCGAGATGCTATCGAGAGGAGTCGAAAAGGAGAAAAAAGCCAAAATTCTACAGTGAGAAGTCGACAGTACAGGTTAGAAATGACACCGTTTTTTGAGTTTTTTATAGAGTAAAAACTAGTCCGTGCTTAGAGCAGGCCATGGCATTTTTGACCTAAGGAACCTGGAGTTCCTCCAGGCATATATTTGTCACAGGGTGCAAGTACTTGAGCACAAGCTTGATAGTTGTCTCCACTCGGCTCTTTCGTAACGCCTCTGCCACTACCACGGCCCAGGTCGAGATGGTATTTAAAAGCCAAAGCATGTCGATCCTCCACTCCCACCAACATTGATTCACACATCGCCAATTCCTGGAGCAAGCAGCACCCTTAACCCCCCGGCCCCCAACCCAGCACCTAGCCAAACATACCATAATACGGGCAACTCGGGACCACACAGGGGTACTTATTCGACACGGTCGGCTTGTCCTTGGTCGACCGGCACTCGACTTGTTCTGTCGTTATCCAGGACGGTCAGCATTCGGGGCTGGAAACCGTTGATGGCCTGTTTACTTTCTGAAAGGGAGGGAGCGAGCGGCACAAGGGGGGATCGGCATACCACAACCCTCCAGGGTGGACGTAATTTCGTGGCCACAGCGGTGGTGGACGAAGATCTTGCGGTAGCACATCTTTTTGTTGGCAAAGTGATGTCACTGTACGGCGCGAAGGTGCGAAGGTTTCGAGATCGTATGGCGCCAAGCAGTGGACCGAGGTAGTTGTGTTGAAGTGTAGAGCGAAGGACGGGCCTGGGCTATCCTAAGAGACGACTCAATGAGGTGGGGCGGGTCGCAGATGTAGAGGTTATTCTCGATATCCAACAGATTGTTGTGATTATTCCTAGAACGAAAACGGAGTAGTTGCTTAGTAGGCTTCAATGATAACCTCGCTGGACAACACCACAGCCGAAGTCTGAAGATCGACACGACGGAGTCGTTGCATTTGTACTTCCACCTCGGGCACCTTGATGACTCCTCGACAAAACCGTAAGCGAGATAATATCAACCCCTCACCGCCGACCCAGCGATGGATGACAGCTGGTGGTGTATGTGCGTGGCAGCAAAGCGCGGAACTCCGACCACTCGGATATCTCCCGCATTCGACGTCAAGGGCCGCCAGCAGATCTAGCACTATGTGCCCGATCCCGCACATCATGTGTTCAAGCCTTCAAAGTCGCGGGAGCAAAAGGTAAACATTGCCGCTAAGACTAGCTATGGAACACCGCGCGTCTGGGGAGGGGGCCATCGACCGTGCGCCATCTATCCCATGCCTTCCACGATCTGGTAGGGTCCTTCGAGCGCCACCTGTGGCTGTGGATGGTTGCGTGTAGCCGGCTCTGCTGTCTCGTGAGCGCGCCAGAGGATGGTGTTCAATCTCACCAGCGTCCTTGGCTTGGTTGCTCCGCCATGCTGGTATATGAACACCCCATAACCCAAAGCTACACCCAATACCGTGTGATGCTTGGAACTGGTGGGGTGCCATAACGATGCTCTGTTATAGCCAGAATGAAAATTGCAGGATCGGCCGGACCAAAATAGGCCGGCGAGTCCTAAATCGAAGGCAATCTTGCTCTTCCGTCTGGTTCTTCCCCACCCCTAATTCGAGGGGAGGGGTTTCTGTGGGTGGAATATCATAACCCATAAACTCCACGGACCACCAGTTCCATTCCGTCAAGGGTTTATTCCGCCCGAGGCTACTGAGTTGAGATCAGCCGCAAGCCGACCCGCCCACGGCTGGTAGAGGTCCTAAGGCCTTTTTAACATAAGCCATCCCGTCACGTCATCCGATCTTCGGAGCGGCTAGGATAGGAAGCTCATGTTGCTAAAAGCCCTGGCGAAGACGTTCGAGATACCGTATAGGTACTCCAGTCAATAGCCCCTGCCACACGGATCAAGTGATGGGCCCTTCAAACCCCCACACCACGTCCCCCGCCCAGTCTCGAGTATCCTGCTGCCCGCTAATTTTGTCTCTCGCACATGGACAGCCGTGCTACTGTGCTGTGGCATCAATGCGACATCTGCACCAACCGTCCGGATGTAAATCCGAGACACAAGAGCCCTCTCGCGAAGGCTCGTGCCGCTGCTTATGCATACAGCCCCGGTCACCACAAACGACCGACCCCTGCTCGCTGTGGTCGCAACCCGGGCTTGGCCAAACCATCAGACGAACCGATAGCCCGGATGTTGACATACCGAGTCGATTTCTAAGCCGACGGTCCTTGTAACGGCCGTGATCGTGACAAGCCCGCAATAGGACTTTGTACCGTCTTAATCAGGTGAGTGAGGCCTCACCAGTCCCCCCACGCCTTCCCCGCCCATCCAGCAGCACACAGCACTCCCGCCCTCGAAGTAGCCCCGACCACAAGGCAATGCACCAACAGCAACACCAAACTCCTCCACCACCCTCCAGGCCATCTATAACTCTCACCATTCGCAACCGAGTTCTCGTCAGACGAGCTGTCTGGCTCAATCAACCCCAACCCCTGACCCGACTGCGCCAGGCCATTAGCCCCCGACCCAGTCCTCAACCTCCCCATCCCGCCCTCACCCTCCCCTCCCACGCCACCACCACCACTCTCATTCCCACTCCCACTCCCTCATCCCCATCACCCCCCCTCCCCAAATGTAAATCCCCCGCCCCCAACAACACCACCGCCCCCATGACCGCCCACTGCGCGCTATACGGCCAGCACACCCACGACAGCGACAGCACCTTCCCCGCAAACAGCACCAACCTCAACACCATGGCATGGTCATCAGCCCAGCGGCGGGCGCGCAGAACGGCCAGGACGGCACTCAACCTCACGCTGGCAGTCCGGGTCATGGGCGGGGCCATGAGCAAGGGGGGTGGCGATGGTGGCGGGGCTGATGGCGGATGATCCGACGACATTGGGGGTGCGCTGGGGGGAACGGGACGGGGTGCGTCGCGCGACCGGGCTGTGGGTGCGGCTGGGGCTGTTGTTGCTGCTGTGGCCGTGGTTGCTGCGGGAGAGGGTCATGGCGTGGGAGGAGGCTGGGTTGCGAGGGCGGTGGGAGCTTGCGGTGGAAGAGAGTGTGAGACGTCGCGCGAGGAGATTGCTGGTGGCTGAGGGCTGAGTGGAGGAGGCTTCGGGAGCGGCGCGGCTGAAGGGGCTCGGGAGGTCTTCGTCGGCGGCGCTACTGACGCGGGCGTGTTTGGTGGGGTCTGGGGGTTTAGTTCGGTGAGTGGACTGCTGTGAGTGCGGTGGTGGGGGAGGCAAACCTGGAACGGGGGTACTGGGAGGCATGGGAGAGTCTAAGTTCTGGACTCTTTGTCCGCTTAGGCCGAGTAGTGGGCTGGTGTTTCTAGAACCCCTCATCATACTGTCGAAGCTATACTCTCCTCCCATGGCCCCCATGATTTCACTGGCAGCCGGCCGGTCCGCAGGATTTACGGCCAGAAGTCTCGAGAGCAGCTGGTATAACTTTGACGGCAAATCCGGTCGAGCTTTCCTCTCGTCCTGAAACCCTTTCCAATGGGATATCTCGGCGCGCAGCTGGTCGACGTCCTCCAGCTCCTCTTGAACGCTGTTGGCATTGGCATACGGAAGACGTCCGAAACACATGAAATACAGGATCATGCCCAAGGAAAAGACGTCCGACTTGGTGGTGAAGTTGCCGTATCTGCCGCTGGCGTCCCTTTTCAGTACTTCCGGTGCGCAGTAAGAAATGGTCCCTGTTGACCCTGTTGATTTGCGGACCGCATTCTCTGGTTGCACTTCGCCAAAATCGCTGATCAGGCATTTCAGCTGGTTACCATCCTGGTGCAGAAGACAGTTGCTTGGCTTCAAGTCTCGATGGATGTAGTTGGCCGCGTGGAGATAGGATAGGCCAGACGTTATATCTTTAAAGAGCGAGTAAATCTCTTCCGGGGCCAGTCGCTTTTGGACCTGGGGACGTTCTGTCTGCCCCCTGGACCGGCGTCGCATTTGGGCCTTGAGCTCCTCCTTCGTCGCCTCTCTCGGCTTGTCACCAATGACGTACTGCAGCAAATCGCCCCCGTTGCAATATTGCTGCAGGATAAAGGCGCAGGCCACGCTCGGGCCGAAACGAGTGAGCTGGACGTCTTCAAGCCAGACGTGGCGGTAGGACACCAGATTGGGATGTGCCAGGTTGGCGAGCAGCTCAACCTCGACGAGCACCTTCTCCAACCAGGCGTGATCGTCCCCGACCGGAACACGCTTGCAAGCGAAGTGCCCGAGGTTGCAGCCATCGATTTCGTGCCGCACCAACAGCACGACACCCTTGCCTCCTCTGCCAAGTTCCCTCTCTTCAATGAAGAAGGTGTTGAAGTAATGTGGGCTGAATGCCTCCCGTTTTATGCGACCGCCGCTTTGCGGGGCAGGCGAGCTGCTGACAAACTCGACGTCGCCTTCATGTTCGTCATGGACCACAGCGGGAAGGGGTTGGACGAGGCGGCGGATTGGACTCGGGGGTGACTGGGACGAAGACGAATTGTTTGTGTTGTGTCCTGCGCGCAGCATGCGGAAATAATTGGGATCGACGAAATTGTCGCCATGGTGGGTGTTATCGTAGTGTCTATCCGGGGAGTTCGAGCGGAGGGGTTGATGGCAGGTCGGGCATTCGTGCAGCTGAAGACCCCTGATCTCGAGACGCTGCGACGATGGATCGCGGACGACGATAGCGTTGTGGTGTCGGCTGCGGTCGAGGTACGTTAGCAAGGTCCATGGCGTGATACATGATGGATCTTGCGCAGCCCTTCAATTGATGCCATTGGGGAATCGTCCGTCTTGCACGTGCGATTGATCCCGAAAGTCGATGGCGGGGCGTTTAGGGGAGTGAAGGGGGGGAGGGGTGATGAACAGGGTCGATGACGTACAGCACGATTTCGCGTCCTTCGCGTGGGTGGTATGGAACGAGCGACATATCGGGCTAAGTTGCCACCAAGTTGGGCCCTATACCCGAGCTGCCCATACTCTGAGATTGTGGCGCTCTGATGTAGTGTGAATGATGTTTCGAAGGTTCCCGTTTGTCGCTTTTGGGTTGTCGGTTTGTTGATGGTAACGGACAGGGTTTAGATGGTTGCCAGGTCCAAGTTTGGCGGGTTGCAGCTGCCAAGCCGCCGGTCGGCGATCCGCGTACCTATCGGGTGAGAGTGAATTGGTGCACTGGCACTTGCAGCGCCTGCAGGATACAGATTGCCTCGGCCCCGGATAGTCGGAGAATCTGGGCAATTGTAGTTGGGCAATCTTGTATCTCAACCCTAGTTACAGGGTGTAGTAGCGGTACCAAAAAATGGGGCTGCCGCGAGTTCAGCATCCGGCGCTGGGTGTTCTCGAGACGGGTCATTTGGGTTGTCAAGTCGGCCCTAAGATCTGCGATTGCATCGAGAATTGCTTGAGTAGCCCGGGGGCCGTTCGGTTCGGCGTTATCAAAGTTATTGTTGGCCATGGTGGATGTTACCTGGGGAGGCGAGAAACGCCCATGTACATACATACGAAAAATACCACGAAGGTTTTGAGTGGATGTGGATGTCGCGGGTCGGAGAAAAGTGCACGACCCCCATGCCCTTCGCAAACCCCGACTTCTCCGCCGACGGGCGCAGACAGAGTATCCCGGCCCACATTGGCCTCTCGCCGTCTACGATAACACCTTTGCTACGTATAGGTAACTGGGAGCCGCCGTATGTCCATTGCATCCCGAAGCGGTAATACGATTTCCCTCGCTCCACGTATCATGATGCATGCATGGGTCAGCAGGTTGTAAATTCCTGACGATGAGAACTTCCCCACTACCTGGGCAGCTGAGGTACGTGAACCTTGCTTTCCCTACAGACCAATTCGAATCAAAGACGTACATGAACCTGCATTTCGATGGTGCATTGGCCAATCGACGGACCAAGCAGGCTCGTCGGACCTTGTCGGTCTCCCCACCAACTATTGGATGCCAGGCAAAACAAGCTTTCGGGACACGACCGGACGACACCACGGTAACTTCAAGAACGATCCGTTGATGATGGCCATTGGCCTTGATTGTAACTGGTAGTGAAGGGTTGGTGTGACTTTGAGTTATTAAGGTAGTCAAGTCTCATTCCCACTTCTCCCATGTATCCAACCACCTCTGCACACGGTAGCAACCACACCACGTACCAGGATGGCAGTGCTCTACTTGACGTCTCTGGCTTATTTACCCAGAGCCCTCCCCAAAGCCGCCTTTAGTTTCTCGCGTTGGGTTGGGGGCGCAATGAACCAAACTGCCAACAGAGCCGCGCCATAAGTAATTACGGCCGTCAAAACCATGGTGACATAAAATGAGGTCTGGTTGGCAGAGGGATCTTCCTTGTCAAACAAATTCATGCCGAAGATGGACTAGGTTCTACGTAAGCCCCGAACCATATATGTGCGGGATCATGCACGGCTACTATGCTGCCGTACGTGGAGCGGCGGGGTAAGACTCACCGTAACGAAACTGAGCGGCAGATAGAAGATAGTCATGACGGTGAAGATGAAGAGATACGAGTTCACCTCGGTGCTTGCCGAAGCTTCCCTAAGTGACGTGGCGTTGAGAATCTGCGTCGGGGGTTAAGTAAGGTTGTCAGTCACGTCGCAGGCTCAGACATTCGTTGAGCCATTTCTTACCGCGTCCCGGAGGCTTTCAATCTCAGCCGTCTTGTCCTGGATACGACGGAGGAGCTGATCGGTCAACCTGTTCTTATTAAGCACCAGGATGTCCAAGTTCTCCTTGACAGCGAGTGCTCCTTCTTCCCCCAAAACGTCCCATCTAATGGCGTAACTGAGTTCGCTGATATGCGTGGAGGATTCGGTGATGTGAGTGGAAAAAGATCCTGAGCAGATGCAAGACCGAGCTGTACATGGCTGAAACTTGGAATGAATCGTCAAACATATGTTCAGAAATCCAATCCTTCCCTTATCACATCGTCGAGCTACACAGGGCCAGGAAGGTTAGCCTGAGTGGGCGGCAGAGCTTGGATGCGGAAGGGATGTGACAGTATGCTGGAAGAGGACGCACATTAACATTGACGATAGTGTTAATCTCATCTAGGCTGGCATTCCAGGCTGCTGCCCAGTCCTCTAGCCACACGGATACGGTATTTTGTAAGGCGTTGTCGACGGGAAGCCGCGGTGCTTTGAGAACCGGGCCAGGCGCCATGGCGTTGACCCGGATACCCTTCCGAACCTGCTGGTTGCTCAGGCCGCGTGTGAAGGACACAATAGCACCCTTCGTCCGAAAGGTGTAGTCGAAGGAGGTCAGGCCGGCCAACGGTAGGCGTTGATGCTGGCATTGTTGACGATGGTGGCCTGCCCCGTTTCATGTGCGGCAGCGCATACTTGGCCAGGAAGAAATAAACGACGTCGAGCTCTGAGCAAAGCCACGATCCAGTTTCAACCCAGTACCGACAGTTACTGGCTCCTGCATAAGCGAACTTATTGCTCGCTTGCTATCGTCCAAAACCCGCGAGGTAACGACGAAGCACCGAGTATGATATAGAATTCTGAGCATCCATCGTGCGCTAGTCTCATAATGAGTACTTCGAGGTCCCGTACTCGGCCAGGGTGCCGCGTAGGCTTGTCCAAAACAAACAAAGGGGTCATGAATGTTCTCGTCGTGCTCTGGGCCTCTGTGTGTTTGGACAGCAAGAAAGGCTAACACCGGCAGTGGGAGGATGCCCCCCGAACGGCTGAAGTCGAGACACCTGCGAGTGTTAGCCAGCCACTCAAAAATAGTTGTTACGTAGATCGAGTAACTGTGGATTTGCATCGGGATAGTCACCATATTCGTCCATGCACTGGTGCTCTGACAGTCGTATCAGCGACTCGGTCGGGCTCGCCAACAGGTTCTTCCGGGAATACAGCATCCTTCAAGCTCAACGAAGGCCTCTGTTTCCAGGTCGCCGCCACTGCTCATCCCCTTCGAGGAAGCGCTTTACGTGCCAGTTCAGCCTTCGTAAAGTCTCATCGTCGACATAAATAGAACTGGAACAAGGACGCGTGCACGGGACCAAAGAGCGCCGCGTTCCAGAAGAATAGCGGGCGGCCGACATGGTCATCCATTGAGCGCTTGTCTCGGGCCTCCCACTGGGCCCTGCCTTCACCGAGGTTTAGCAAAGGAGATTTGCTCCCACTCGGCCCAGTGCGCCTGGGCTGGTTGGCGGGTGGAATTTTGCCGGATGAAACATAGGCCACGACCCATGTCGATCTTTGGCCGTGACAGGTAGCACTGATGCATGGAGAGAGGTTTTCGCGCGTGGCATTGCGGCATGAGGAGATGAAGGCTCTCCTCTGCCACAATGCCATCTTTACAGGGTCTTGCCCCAGCCATGAGTATGGGATAGCGCTGTTTAGCCGGCAGGTAAAGGTATGCACCTCCTATTTTGACGATTAGATTTCGTAGGTACCTAGGTAAGCAGACATCGACAAAGCACTTTTCGGTCACATCCAGCAAACCGAGGAGTGAGAATTGGCTGACGTACTTGATAAGGTTGTGGGCATTGGGGGCCCTCAATCTTTTGGGAGTCGCTCGGGTCTCTCCATTTCTCTTCCGGCCATGTTTCCGATGGCTTTATTGGCATGCTCGAGGTATTCCGTTGCTCAACAGAAACTGTGGAGCGCACGGGAGGGCTGATTGTTTGTATGTATGCCGGTTTGGATAGAAAGGAGTTGAGATGACCTGCCTTGATTTGGTTTTTGCTTGGTTTGGGTGATGGTATTCAAGACAGTGGGGCTTCAGAGACAAGTAAGCCGGGCTACGGAGCCTACACAGTATTTGCGCTCCCTGAAACGCGCGTGAAACGCGCGTGACGCGTTACGCGGTCGGCGATAGCTACCGCGCCACTCAAAAACAGCAGCCCGGACCCAGCACATTTTGTCCATGTGGAATTGTGCTAACTGGCTTTGACAGCCCTGGTCTTGGACGCCCACAACATTGAAGGTGAAGGGGGATGATAAAAGAGACAGCGCACTGTTGGTCCCGCCTTGGATATCTCTAGCATGATCTACGATGTGAACAGAGTGTGGATAACGACTGAAGTGGTCTGCCTCGGATCACTGTAAATCTCCCGCCCTGAGTGCTAAATCTGGAAACCTCATGCCATTCTAGGAAGAAAAAGGCGTTGATTAGCAGAGGGCTTCTTCTTGTTTCTTGACCTTCTCGAGCTTCTCTTCCCCGAGGCCAGAATGTGGGCCCTATTATCGTAAGGGGCTACTTCGGACGTTCTCTCAAGCAGTGGTGGTTGCAGTGGTTACGTGGGTGCGTGGTTACCTCTTCCTACACTTCATGGAGGACATCCGCTCAGCCGTTGGCCGCGGAGGAGGTGTGGGGGGCCTGCGCAACTGACAAATCTCGTTGAAACAAGATTTCGACGCGCATGTTGATGCGAGTGTCGACGGATCCACAACTCGAGGAGCGCCATGCCGAAAGAACCGTCTCGGAGCCTCTGCACCCCAGGATGCCGATCTCAGATGGGATGGGATTGTCGATACCCCAGATCAGGTGGAACAGGGGACTACTTTATTCGGTTCGCCCAGGATTCGCCAAAGGGGCAAGACCAATCTAAAAACAAAAATCCAACTGGCTGGCGAGCCCGGGGTGCTTTTACCCGCGGCCCTTTACCCGTTGGGCGGCACTCGTTCCTTGGCAGGGCGGGACATGGAGAGCCGCTCCCGGTTTCGCTTACACGGATTCGACGGCTTCGACGGGTTTGTTATGGAGATGGCCGGGAATAGGAGAAGAGGTGAGCGATCAGGCGTATAAAATGGTCATCATTCAGAGAGCTGGGAGACGGCCCCTGACTTTCTGGTTCGCGTCGCCCGATCGAGCTCTTAGCCTGTCCTTCACGACTTACAGACAACCGATCCTCTGTTGTTGAACCACTTACCAGACAAGATGAAGCTGACCCTTGCCACCGCTGTGCTCGCGGCCGCTCTCGCCGAGGCGCATTGTAAGCCATCCCCTTCTCTCTTGCCCGGCCTGCCGTGCTAACACAGCCATCTGCCTAGACACCTTCCCCAGCGTCGACGACTCGGCCGACTGGCAATATGTCCGGACGACGACCAACTACCAGAGCAACGGCCCCGTGACGGACGTCACCTCGGACCAGATCCGGTGCTACGAGCGCGACCCGGGCACAGGCGCCCCCGAGACCTACTCGGTCACGGCCGGCAAGGTCCTCAACTACAACGCCAAGGCCTCCGTCTCCCACCCGGGCCCCATGGCCTTCTACATCGCCAAGGTCCCCGAGGGCGAGACCGCCGCCACCTGGGACGGCTCGGGCGAGGTCTGGTCCAAGATCTACCAGGAGATGCCCGAGTTCGGCGCCAGCATGACCTGGTCCAGCGACGGTACGCCTCCCCATCCCCCCACCAACACTCCCACCAACTAACCTCTTTTTGTTTTCTCACAGGCGCCAAATCCATCCCCGTAACCATTCCCAGCTGCCTGTCGGACGGCGAGTACCTGCTCCGGGTGGAGCACATCGCGCTGCACAGCGCGGGCAGCGCGGGCGGCGCGCAGTTCTATCTCAGCTGCGCGCAGCTGTCCGTCACGGGCGGCAGCGGCTCGTGGAGCCCCAAGAGCAAGGTCGCCTTCCCCGGCGCCTACTCGGCCACCGACCCGGGCATCCTCATCAACATCTACTACCCCGTGCCGACGAGCTACACGCCGCCGGGGCCGGCGGTGGAGAGCTGTTAGGTGCGGTAGGGTGGATGGGGGGTTGGTGGGGTGGTGTTGTAGGTATGTAGGTAGGAAGGGAGTGGAACTGGGGGGGATGTATGTTCGATGTATATGGTTGTAGCCGACTCAAGTCTTTTTGTTCAGGCTGTTCGCAGAATCTACCCAGCTTCTGGGTTGCGGTGCCGTGCTTCTTCAACTAGATTCTATTGATGTCCCTTTGTAACGTACTATGAGATCGAGGGCTCGTAACTCGCAGTGGGGACTGAAAAGGGGGTGGAAAGGATCAGCTTGGATTCGGCCCCCATCACGTTGCACTCTAATTGACATAATAAATATTATTATTCATACTCCGCTATGCCCTAGGGCGTGCCGGACCCTCAGCTATTTAGTGTACAGGAAAACCGTGCCCTCCCGGGCCGGGTGAAAAACCCATACCAACAATCAAAGAACGATGCGTTCTGGTGAGTCTGCGTATACAAAGAGAGGAGGCCTCCTGGCCTCCGAACGGGGGCGCTTCAGGCCGCCGCTTCCAGCTCGAGCCTCCTGGCTAAGTTGTACATCGGCAGCTTCCCCGAGTCCTTCAGCCAGTCGAGAACTCTCCTCGCGAGCCGTGCAGTCGTGGGATTGATGCCGTGTAGAACAGAGTAAAAGTCCCGTCGTGTCCGAATTCCAGTCCTCTCCCATCTTCGAGCCAACGGTGGGGCCAAACACCACACTACTAGGTGTTCGGCAGTCTCTCGTCCCTCGCCACACTCGCAGGCAGGCGTCAGAACCTCCGGGACTCCCCGTGTGAACAAGAAGACCCGTAGGCCTATTGCTCCCGTCCGGATTTGAATCAGCAGTGAGCTCTTCGCCTTGTTGAGACCGTCATGCCTCCTTAGGGTTTCGTTCCGGAATAGCGTCTCCTGCTGATGGTCAAAGTCGTCCGCCGGCCTGGTGATTGCCCTGCCGTCCCGTTCCTTTAACCACCACGCCCGCTATAATATCAGTCTACCATTAAGACCAACTAATGTACGGATCCCTCTCCGTTTCGCCCGAATTAATAACGCCGACCTGCGAAAAGACTCACTGTCGTGGTCCCCATGCCGCTTCTTCCCGTCTATACATTACGTAGGTAGCTGGGAATCTGGGAAGCTGCAAATATCAGTTGCCGTCTGGCCTCGGCACACAAAGGTTGGGCTGCGTGGTGGGTTGGCGGTTGGGGAATTGTAATCAACAACCCCTGCTTGGTTGAAAGAGAGATGAGATATACATGTACTCAGCAAACGAGAAACCGAGGGCTCTAGGACTTTTGTGGCCTGGGACGGGTCTGGGCCGTTTGTAATCGCCACGGAGACGAGCGCCTAGATCCCAACCCTTTCCGCGTTCCTCTTGTCGGATCTCTCTGCCTCAGCTGGTCGTAAGGTTTCAAGTCGCCTTTCCACCGCTTCTCTTCTACCTCCCGCAGTGGTCCGGGAAAGAACTCTCATAGAAGGTAGCTACTCAGCGTTGGGTGGACTATATAAAAGTCCAAACTTCCGTTCATGACCTTCTTCGTGCGGCTTACTTCCACCCTGCTAAGCGAGAGGATTTTCGGAGTGCCATGATGCCGATCTTCGGAGGGACGGGGGGCTATGACGCGCCAACTGCATCACATACCTACCCGGCTCTGACACTTAACCATGTAACTGCCGAGTCACAGATGTGCCCGTGACATCAAGATTAAAAACATGAGCGTTAAACATCCGCGGCTATCAACCCACTGGCCGAACATGGTGTAGCCACGTCAAAATCCAGGGGCGGGTATCTATCTACCTAACTATGGATGAGTCGTCCACTTCCTCGTTGTTACGGTTTCCCGGAAAGTGTCCTGGGCCGTCAACGGTAACGTCTAGCTAAAAATACCATGCTGCTTGCATTCATAGTTCGAAGGGACCGTCGGGCAGTAAATGTTTTGAGAATGGTCGGGCTGTCTTGATTCGGAGATTTTCGATGTTGGACCATCCGGAGTGTTTTTGGTCTCTCCTTCGGCTCAGTACTGGCCCCATATTTACACAAGCACGCACTGTGTCCAATGCCGGGTCTGGGGTTGCACCGCTCCGCATCCTCAGTTTCGTTTCTCGGACCCCCAGCGTGGTGGAACTCACGGGTGCCGGGACTGTCGCCTAATTTCACCACTCTTGCTTCTGGGAAACGTCCTATTTCAGCTTAGTAGGACTGTATATGGTATGCTTGAGGTGACTATTCCAGCTACAGCCGCTGTCCTAGGTTTCGCATATATCCTAATTACCATGGCGCAACCTTCCGCCGTTGTTGAAAGCTTCCAGCATTCTCTCAGCGTAAACACAGAGAACGAGTACAATGTTGGACAGAGCGAGGACGAGAATACACCAAACGAGAACACCGAGTCCCAAGCGCGAAATGGCGACTCCTGTTTGCCGCCCGTCGACCGGGGGAAGGATGCGTGGCTGTTTTTAGCCGCTTGTTATGTCATTGAAGCTGTAACATCCGGTGAGTTTTGCCCAGTGTCTTCAAGCTCACATATGTCTTCCACGTGGATGGGCCCGCCCTGAATCTTACCTCTCTCATTATTACCAGGGAATCATGTATCTGGCGACGCCATTCGTGCTTACCATATGCCGCCTGTACCCTCGCTGGGCCCGATGGTCCACGCTTGCCGGACTCTTCCTGGCGTGTCTGTCTCTGGGGGCCAGCTCATTCTGCAACAGCGCGCTTCAGCTCATCGGGGTCCAGGGAGTGCTCTTCGGCGTCGGTGGGTGTGTGGCATACTGCCTTTCCACGCTGTACATCGACGAGTAGTTTTCCCGCCGCAAAGGCCTCGCCTACGGCCTCGTGTGGAGCGCCGCAGGGGTCGGTGGTGTTGTCTTCCCTCTTGTCCTCCAGGCTTTGCTCGATAGTCTTGGGTTCCGGACAGCCTTGAGAATCTCAGCCGGCATCCTCTTTGCGTGCTCGGCTCCTCTGGCTTTCTACGTTAAGCCCAGACTCCCGTACTTCGCGAATCCCCACAACGTTAAAAAGCCCTTCGACATGCGGTTCGTCATGCCCAGGCGGTTTGTCCTCCACCAAACGTCGAACGTGGTTGAGGCAACGGGCTACTTCCTCCCGGGCATTTACCTACCAACCTACGCCCGCGAGACCTTCGGCACTTCAACGTTTATGTCCGCGCTGACGCTTATGCTGATCAACATCTCCGCGACGGCCGGCCTCGCCATCATGGGCTCCATGACCGACCGGCTGTACGTCACGACTTGCATGATCATCTCGGCGGTGGGCGCATCCGTCTCTGTTTTGGTGGTCTGGGGGCTGGCGAAATCTCTTCCTGTCCTGTACGTGTTCTGCGTCTTGTACGGCATATCGGCCGGGTCCTGGGCATCGACCTGGCCGGGAATCATGAAGGAGGTGTCGCAGAACAGTGAGGAGGAGGGGTACGGCCACATTGACCCGGGCATGGTGCAGGGTCACCTTTGTGTTGGGAGGGGAGTCGGGAATGTCATTTCCGGGCCCTTGAGTAATGCTCTCATTAGGGGTATGCCGTGGAAAGGGCAAGTCATGGGAGGGTATGGAACTGGCTATGGCGTGCTGATCGCGTATACTGGCCTAACGGCTGTGCTGAGTGGCATGACGTTTCTGTGGAGGCTCCTGGGTCTGCGTTGAGGAGGTTAAAGACGGTTGTGTGCATCCACATATGCCAGCGAAACGTTAACGATAGATTCTTTACCTTCTCCTCGCCCTCTCCCGGGCTGGTTCCCGGGAATAAGGTTTGTTACCTGGATGAACGGGGATAATCCGGTGCCGGATGCACACGCCTCGGAGCCGCCGGCGGCGACTAGGATGCCGGAGCAGGGCGGGTAAGGGGGAACTCCCGCGCGAACGAGAGCCCGGGGAGGGCGTTTGCGCTGATGCGTAGGGTTGGGGGTACGCACCAATCACCCCGTGCAGTTGAGAAGTCGAGCTCCGGTTTGGGCGGCTACGAGCGTGGCATGTATGTTGTCGGGGAGACGCAAAAAACAGCCAACCTTTAAGCTGGTGATGATCCTCACCATTGTACATCATGGATTGAATAAAGGGGGTTATAAGGTGGTCTTCTGGGACAGTTCAAAACATACGGACAGTTGATTTAAGCAGAATAAATGGCCCAAGACGGTTGGATTCTAAGTATGGATGTGTGGAAGTGCCTGCATAAGCGTAGGTTTCATGGTAACTTGTCTTCCGCCCGGGTTGACCACCCAAGATGTTGCGGACTCCCAATCAGTATTTCAGCGCAGCTATCAACATACATCTGACCTACCATACCGTCTCAGACGCTGATACCTCGCTTTGCGATGTAAAGCGGCCCGGGTCGGTAATGTAAGCGTGGACTAGGTCTCTAGCAGCGAGAGCGTCCTCCAAGCTGTCATGGCCCTTGTTGCCTACCTGAATCGCCCGCCCCAAGTGCTTCATGGTGAGTGCCTTGAGTGACATGCCGTCAGGGTTGTTTTTGCGGCGTGGCTGTTTATTGCCCGGCTTTCTTTCTGAGGCCTTATCCCCTTCTTTGGGCTTGTTCGCTTCCCTGGCCTTAACTCCTTCCTTGGATTCCACCCCGTCCTTGTCGTAAAGCTTTGCTACTCCCTTTTTGTTTAGCTCAGCGTCTTCTGAAGTGCCGCCGAGCCCCGCGCCTTCCTTGGGCTCGTCCCATTTGGCCTCTTCCTCTTCCTTCTTCCTTCTCTCTCGTTCCGCTTTTAACTCGGCTTCCTTCCGCCGAGATGATTCAATGAGAAGAGAGTCGACTACGCGATGGTGGATCCATCGGAGAGAGAGAAGATCGCTTTGAGCCCCGTGTCCAATGACGATGGTGGATGGTCCCACGTATCGAAAGATGGCCTTTCGAGCAGCGGCTTTGCCTAGGATACATTTGTGTTCTCGGCGCGCCCTCTCCATGTCGCCTTTTGTAACGCCCGACCATCGCGTATTGAAGTGCATCATCGGCACGTCAGGGTAGACCAGGCTGTCAATGAGAGCCTTTCCAGTGAAGTAGTCAACAACGGTAAGACGGATGAGTTCGCTATCGCCGTCGAAAGCGGTGCCCATCTCACAGTCGATGGCTACTGCGGCGCGATGGCTGGGCTTTGTTTCAGGAGCGGTGACATGGCACTGCCAGCGCCGCTCGTTTGCTCCGTTCTGGTCATCTCGCACGTCGTGGTCCTTCTTGATCGTGCAAGGGTCTTCGCTAACATGCTTCCGGCAGCATGTCCACACCTGAAAAGGCCGAGATCAGTTTTTTGATTCCAAGTCAACAGCTCGTGAATTGCCTTACTTTGTAGACCACCTTTCCAGTGTGGAACCTGCAATCCAATGGCTTTGGGTTCGCGACGTCAGTGCCACGATGATTCGGGTTTTCCTGCGCCTGAGAGCCGCTCTCCTCAGTTTTCGGTGACTTGTTTTCGGCAACTTCGGTCTTGTGGTGTCGAATGCGAGGTGGCTTTGCAACTGTATAGCGTGTACGTCAGTAAGTTGACTACCTTAAATAAAACCGGTCATTTCTCGGCCGGTGTTATGAAGGCAGTTCGTGACTCACCTCTGATCCCGCATCTACTGCATCGTCTCTTTTGATCGAGTTCGGCATCGGTGAGCTTCTCGACCACATAACCAGCCCGCTTCAAGGCTTTGATGGAGGCAACCAGCTTGTTTAGCTGTTCGACTGATTCCGCGTTCTGCTGAATGGGTCCCGTAGTGCTGACCACCGTGCCTTCTTTGAGGGCTGAGAAGGCGCCGTTTTGAGCCATGATCAAAGTTTTTGACGCAAATTACTTCCCACGATGATAAAATGCCGCACAGAAGTTGGAGTTGGGATGCGCTTTAAGGTTTGGGATGGATAGTCCGGCGAGAAGAAATCATGGGCGGCCGCTCAAGGCAGCAGCTTGCAAGGCTCACTTGTTGGAGGCCCAACAACGACAAATGCTGCATGTTGCACAAAGACCGCACGTGATGCAACAGTGAATTGGAGGACAATGCTCTGCCCCAATTGACGGGAAAGCTGCAACTGCCCCAGTCAGTGGCTGCACGATAGGTTCAACGCTGCCCTCGGTTGCTGGACCCGCAATCCATCGACCAAGAGCGAGGCCAACCCGAGTACCCGACTATTCTGGGCTACCTCAAGTGCTGAGGTAATGTACTATTTTATCCAAGGCTGTCTCGCATAACGTCCGAGTAACAGCTCCTTTACTATGAGTTCAAGTCAGCTGCAAGGCTGAGTGAAGCAACCATCCTCCAACCTTCGAAAGTCTCTAGGCAGATTACCGGGGGCTTGATGGTACCCTCCCATAATGCAGCAGTTAATGGTCCAGTGTTCCTTCCGGGTTGCAATTCTTATTTTCCCTTGGAGGTCGTCGACCTGTTACGGTTTTCTTTTCTTCCAGTGCGTCCGCATTTTAAGCTGGAGATTTTCGAAGCTTTCTCCATCCGCAAGCCGCCCTCAAGCCGCCATGCCTAACAAACTTGGAGATAAAAAGCATCACAACCCAGTATTCAGCCCACCCCGTCCATCTACCGCAAATAAACCAACAACGCCTCCGCCGCCTTGACCTCAAACGCCGCCTGCCCGTTCTCCACCCTCGTTGTCTCGAACACCTCCTCCCCCGCCACCACGCACGTCCCATCCGTCCACTTCTGCCCCCCAAACGAGATCTCATCCCCCCGATCCACCCTCGCCAACGAACTCGCCC